AATGTTGTTGAAGTTGATTTTTGTTCGTCGCTATATAACAAAACACTTAATGCTTGTTCCCTCGGGAAATAGTTAGTTTTGTTTTCCCTCGAATCTTAATGTTTCCCTCGACTTCGTCTCGGGAAACATTGAGATTCTTGGGAAAACAAAACTAACTATTTCCCTCGGGAGCAGACATTAAGTGTATCATGTACGATGGATGAGGTGAAATATACATTTACGGTCATTGAAATTCTTCAACTAATTCACATCTCACTAAGATAGTCTGCATACGCCATAGCACCATCAAGAGAAGGTTCTATTATTACAACATTGAAGACTTTCTGTAAGCAATCTTTGACAATCGTAGACTCCACAAGTGGATTTTCACAGATGGAGATTTCACGAAGTTTCGTTGGCCACGTTGTTAACACATTTGCGAAGTATAGAAGGGAATCCGAGCTTAGTCTGTTGCAGCTGTAAGAAATCCAACAGGATAATTAGTCCATGCAAATTAAATACAACCAAATTTACTGTTTTTGCATAAATTGCAAGTTTGTTATTGCAATCCTCTGATAAAAATTGGTGCATTAATTTTATGATTTTCATCAAGTTCAGTCTGAGGATGCTAACAGCTTATTCGAAAATGGACAGATTAAATAGGAGGAAAAAAAATATAAGGAGAACTTCGACATTTCGAGCGAAGGGCCTTCGTCTGGAGTTACTAGTGACTCCAGATGAAGGGACTTATATTTTTCAGGGAGTTACATCCCACCAACGAAAGCATGTTCATTTGATTGGCACTACCTACACTGGCAAAGACAGATTAAGGAAAGATGACCTCTCATGTGTACGTGGGCTCTATAAGCTGTCGTGTATTGTGTCTGAATGATCTGATGAGACCTTAGTCCATTGCAAAGCAATAGCTCTTATAGAAAACTATAATTAATAGAAATTATAACATTTATTTTTAGAATTATGAATATCGAATTTTTTGTGTCTCTTAACACGTGCAATTTTTGCTGCGATTTAAGGAGG